CTTTGCCATCCTTCCAGATTTCGACGTTGTCCAACTCCCCTTGGGGTTCAGGACGAGGTGCTTGGAGCTCCTCTCTCATGTCTAGTTCGATCAAGTTTATCTCGCTTCCTGATGCCCTTAATGGCTGGTCATTAGCCCCTCCATCTTTAAGCCGGGGGGGAGATAATGGACCTCCTTGATGGACTCGCAGGGTCTCATAATAGCACTTTCTTGACTCTTCTTGATCACCTCTTTTGGTGACAATCTCGTTGTTCATCTCAGGCATTTTTAGTGCTTGATGCTTAGTGGAGATTAGCATATCCCAGTCATGGATTATAGGCCGACCAATGATCACGTTGTAAGAAGACGAGGTGTCTACTACAACGAACAGAACCCTTCCAGCTCGGAACGAGTCCTTCGTGCCTAGGGTCAGCTTTAGGTCGATATAACCTTTTGGAGGTATCGCCGCTCCGTTGAACCTGACCAGCTCGGTGACGCATGGTTTCAAGTCCTTCTCATCCAGGTTCATCCTCTGGAAAGCATCCCAGAGAATTATGTCTGCCGAGCTTCCGTGGTCGATAAAGATTCTCTTGACTCGACAGTTGACTAGCACTCCAGTGATTACCAATCCGTCAGTGTGTCCAGGTACGACCATCACTAGTTCTTCCTGAGTCTCTTCCCCCGCCTAGAGCTCCACTTATCACGTTGCATTCGAATTCGACTTCGGGAAAAGCCTCATCCTTATCGTCGACCTCTTTGCCTTTGGCATGTCGGTCTTGTCTTTGATCCTTTCTATCTTCTCTCTTCGGGCTTCGACCTCTGCTCCGGCTTCTTTGCCTTCAGTTATTATTTTTCTTTCCCTGTGTTTGGATGATATATTGCTTCAACTTCCCCTCTCTGTCGTGAAACTTCCCCTCTCTGACGTGTTTTTCAATAGCATCTCGAAGGTCCCAGCAGTCATCCGTGATGTGACCGTTTTGATCGTGGAAAGCGCAATATTTGTTTCCGTCCAGTCCGCTCTTGGCTTTGAGTGGTCGAGGTCTCTCGACGTTGCGCATCTCGGTCTGGGCCACCTATTTCCATATCCTGGATCTGAACATGTTGAGGGGTGTATAATCGTCATATTTCCTTCTTAGAGACCGATCGTCCGACCTCTTATCGTGAGAGTCCTTCCCTTTTTTGGATCCCTTCTGGTCTCGGTCTTTGTTGTTTTTCTTACTCGGGCTCCGACGTGTCGGACTTCGTCCTCGAGACTCGATGTAGACCTTTTGCATATCTTCCACATCAATGTATTTATCCGACCTTCGTCGGACCTTTTCCAGATAATTCACCAGGTTCTTATAGATTGATCTCGCAAGTGGAGAGTCACCATCTAATCCCGAGATAATTAAGTGGAGGTGCACCGCTTTATTTAAACCTCGAACCTTGAGGGCGGCATCCTTGAACCGGTCGAGGTACTTCCTCAGCGATTCACTCTCTTTCTGCCGAATTCTTCCCAGTGCGTAGGCCGGCATTGGATGCACCTTGCTTGTTGCAAAGTTCAGTCGGAAAGTCTGGGCTAGGTCCTCAAACGAGTCGATAGAGTTCCTAGGGAGCCTGGTTATCCAGGTCATCGCTTGACCAGTCAATGTCGTCGCGAAGATCCTGGCCTCAATAGGTCCAGTGATTCCGTTGAACAACATTTCGGTTTTGAAAGCCTCTAAATGGGCTTCTGGGTCCTGACTTCCGTCGTACGGAGGTATACTGGTGCTCTTGAATCTCGGCGGTATGGCCAAGTTCATGAGCCTCCCAGTGAATGGGCTATCATTAGCCTCTTCGTCATCCAGATAATTTTCGTCCTGTTGTCGTTCGGACCTCCATCATTCCGGTTGTTGCCGAAGTTAGGGTTCTGCACATTCTGCGCGTTTTCTTCGACTGTAGCCGCGTTCTGACGTTGCGGGCCATCATCAGCAGCATGGCCGTTCCTTCCAAGTCGGCCTTCAGCGTTTTGACATCGGAGGTCTTCGGCGTTCTGATGTTGGATGCCTTCAGCATTTTGATGTTGGACGCCTTCAGCATTTTGCTGTTGAGGTTCGGAGTTTACGACCTGTCCGGCTACCATAGGTCGGCCTTCCGCGTTCAGATTTCTCACTCGGCCTCAAATGTCGCCATCCTTTGGGCATCCATTCGTTGCTGAATCAAGAATCTGTTTTCCATCTCTTGCAATCTTTGAAGGATTGCACCCATGGCCATCGTGGTCACGTTCGGTGGCTCACTGTGTGGAGGCGGACGAGCTATAGCCGCTGCTGTGATGGTCTGGGGTTTGAGAGTCGGTCCCTGAAGGCCGACCCCTTCGACCTGTACATCTACCAGCACGGGAGTTGTAGTCGCTTGGATCTGTTCCACTGCAGACTGGTGCAACGGTATTTGGACGTTGCTAGACGTCGAACAAGTGTTCGTCATCGTGGAATGGGAGTCGAAATTTATCGTTTCCCACAGACGGCGCCAATGTTAGATTCTGGGTAGACCGTATTGCTATACCGTATGGTATGCGCTCAAAGATAGTGTATATCAGGTGTATACTAGGCTTATAGCCGAGGTCCCAATCACTGCGCACAAGCAATAGGCTAATAACCAAGGGGTGGGTGTGTGCACAGTGTGGGAAGTATCAATAAATAGGTTAAAAGTATTTACCTGGGGTCCTTAGGCTCTTATTTATAGGATTACCTTACTAGGCTTGGACATTTTGAGCTCCCCCAACTGCAGTAGGATTTAACTCCCTTTTCTATTGGGATGTGATCCCTATCTTGTGCCTCTTGGCTGTTTAGAGCTGTTGAAATGTTTATGACTCTATCTCTTAGTAGATTCTTAAATAGGTAGTTGGGATATGATATTCATATCCATAACAGGATGAATCAGAATTAACTAACTATTTTTGTTGCAAAGAGAAGAGGTGATAGCAAAGCATAACATAAGGGGAGAGTAGACCACAAATAATAGATATCTGAGGCTGGAAACTTGAAATTATTTTGACTTTTCTAGCTGTGGCATAGATTTAATTATAAGACATCAATTTTTTTTGTTAATAAAAAGCTTTAAATCTAGGCAGCAAAGGACAGATAGTTCACACACACACAAATAGTTCTATTGGCATAGGCATGAATTTGCTCAAACGCGTTTATAATTGTTTAGTTCAATTCATAATTTATCTTATAAATATAATCGATCTTAGAGTTGTATTTTTAAATTTTAACCAGGAATCAAAATGACAAAATGACAAAATATCAAGACTTTTAAGTCGTAATATGGTTTATTCAATCGACTAAGTTAATGATTTAACTGAGCTCCACAAATAGTATGTGCCAATATCCATAACCCATCAAATATTCTTCCTGCTTAAGTTGAGAAACTTCAGTCACCATACCCCAGGGTTGGGTAAATGTAGAACAAATGCAATAGAAAGCATCAGCCATATCCAAATTCTCAATAGTTAACTAGTTAGCGAAACAAAGGATAAAAGAACATAAAAAGCAGTTACATGACTTGGACGGATGTGTTTGTCACTTGGGAGTTTTAGAAGTACAGCTTCAAAGTTATAAGTGACACTTTAATATGGGTAAAATGTACAAATTAATTCAAATTTTAATGGTATTAAAGATGAAAAAAGTTATATTTACAAATTACATTATGTATTACGGGTGGTATATTTTAGCACACAGTATATATTTACAAATTCTCAATAGTTATATGAGTTTGTTAAAAAAAAATTATAAATATAACCCTTCCCATTAAAAATTGACTTGGATGGAAAAAATCTTAATGGAAATAAGTGATAACAAAGAAAAAAAAGAATCATAGAAGATAAATGATAAAAGTGTAAACTACAAACAACTTTTGAATCTTTCAAGAAAACAAATAAAAATTATTCATCATCATTTTCATTTTGATGTAAATATTTCAAAAAAAAAAATACCACATTTAAAATATAATATAGTCTATAAAATAAGGTTAATATTTTTTATAGGGATGATCCGTTTACAAACTTCTTTTGCAATTACACTAATGTAGAACCGGTCGTACACTGTGTGATTAATGTAGGAACGGTCCTACATAGTGTAGTTTGTAAACAAAAAAGTTTATAAATATAACCTGCCCCTTTTTTATATTGTAAGATATAAATTTATCTCATAATACATATAAAAGTAGATAGAACTTATATAGGTCCAACTCCAAGTGAGGAGAAAAGAGATAAAGAAAAAAATATAGATCTCCTACATTTTTTATATACATAATAAATAAATTTATATCATACAATATAAAAAATAATAAATCTTATAATAAAAATAACATGTTTATCAATGGGGAGGGGGCTGAACCTTTAGCCATCACTGTTCCCCCGCACTCCGGATTAGTCTCGTAGCCGGCTCAAAGAGTCGAAGCTCGTGGAAATACCGAATGGAGCCAACTCATCTCAAAGAGATAATTAGAGTTGGGTAACTCCAAAAAAAAATTGTCAACCTATCCCATAAATGGTCACGCATAACGAATTGCCTTTTGGAAGGACGATAATAAGCTCTCATTTTATATCGATCTTGTTGTTGTTTTTTATAATTTATTTTATAGTGTACGAATTTTAAATAATTGTTAGTTATTTTTATTTTATTTTATTATTTTAAGATTATATTTGAATATATTGAATATGTGTTGTTTGTGTATTATTTTCTTTGATTGAGCATAATTTTTTTTTTAATTCTGTTTTATTTTGCCTATTTAAAATTGGAAAATCTTATTATTATTTGATTTTTTTTTATCAAATAATTTTTTTAAAAAAAATAATGTTTTCTCGCACTTGTACTGCTTCGGCATTAGTTGCATTATATCTTTTCAATCGCATCCTACACACACTCACACACAGAGTACTCACATTAATCATTCGTCAAAGACACAAGCTTTGTGATCCGAACCCAACGTTCTCCGCTCTGAGAAAAATTCACTTCTTTTCTGAAACAAAAACACATATTAAGAGAACATATATTTCAAAAATGGCCTCCTTCGTCGACGGAGACGACGACGACGACGATAGCTACGTGGGCTACCAACATTCTCACCATTACGAATCAACGTTCCCTCATTCCGATGATTACGCCGACCATGACCCCACCTCCGATCACCGCCCCAATAACTTCGCTGAGAACCCGCATTCTCCCCCCGTATACGGGTTTGGCGTTTCCACACCCGACCCGAACCACGTGTCACCGTTCGAATCAGATGGCGCCGGAAATGTCGCCGCCGCCGACGATGATGATGGAATCTTTAGCTCCGACGGTCCTGTGCTTCCGGACCCCAGTCAAATGCAAGAGGAAGGTTTTGCAAGACGTGAATGGCGACGGTGAGATTTTCTTGGATCCTATCACTTCTTTTTTCTTTCTTTTTTTCTTTGCTGTGTAATTTTTTTTTCTTTGTAATTTGTTATATGATCTTTAAAAATTGCATGGTTTATACAGGGAGAATGTGAATATATTTTGTCATATTATCTTGGGTTTAATATTTTTGTAGAAAAATTGTTTCCCTCGTATTCACATTAAAATAAATAAGTTTCAGTAACATTTTCTCTCGTTTCTAGTTACAATGAACTCACTCACTTTTAAATCATTGATTGCACGAAAAAAATTATGCAACATACATACTTTTTCCATTTATCTTTATGATATTTTTTTTTATTTCTTTTGTTGTACCAAGAACTTTCAACAAATCAGAAGGTATCTTGTGAGTAGGGTAGGAATAGGATAGAAAGAGTTGAAGTAATTTTTAGCTGTTCTGCAATGTTAAACTAAACTAGGAAATTTGTACTCAAGATAGTTTCTTTCACTTCTCACTAGAATGCTTGTTGGGATTTTTTCGTAACTTTCTTACTAACAAATTGTTAGAACAAGCTACATTTCAATTTGCTAAAATGAAAAGTTATAGGTGAATGTTTATAGTAGTCTAGTTTTTGATTTTAGACATTTTAAAATATACATGATATCTTAGTAATTCTTTATTTGTTAGTGACATTAAATTTGTTCTACACTATGATTAATTCCATCGCTTTCTACATTTGAAAGTTAATGTGATGTAATTTTTGAAAGACTAATTTGATAGAGCTAGGGATCATTTGACATCAGTGTCAAATTTGAAATTTGACACCTCATATGAGAGTCATTAGATCAAACAAGATCAACGACTCTGATTTGTAAGCATGTGACACCATTGATCTTTTTTGATCTAATGGCTCTCAGATGAGCTGTCAAATTTCAAATTATATACTGGTGTCAAAGGATCCTACCTCAATTTGATATATTTACAAATGAAGTATATTGAACATATATGTTTACTCTTGTAACTTAATATAGGGTCATTTGAACGGTAGAAAAGTGGGATACTTTGGCTATCTTATGTTGCTCAATTCTTATAATTATGGTGCCTGTTTTAGTGTCAGATTGAATTCTCATGCGTTTATACATATGAGTTGATCTTTTTTCGTTATATATTGGCATTTGCTTTTCTGACTGCAATTTTCTCGACTTCTGTTGATGCAGTCAAAATGCCATTCATCTTGAGGAAATGGAGAAAAGAGAGAAGGAGTTACGAAATCAGATTATGAATGAAGCTGAAGAGTATAAGCAAGCTTTCTATGAAAAAAGGAAGGTCAATTGTGAGACAAACAAAGCTAATAACAGAGACAGAGAGAAGGTATATATTGTAAAGTCCATCAACAATTATCACAGAACATCAATTCTCTATGCTCTTCCCTTCTACCCTTTTCAGCAACATGATTCCATTTGTCATTGATATAATTTATACGCAAGTTGAAGACAATTGAGTATATGTGCAGATATACTTGGCCAACCAAGAGAAATTTCACAAAGAAGCTGACAAACATTACTGGAAAGCTATAGCAGAGATAATACCTCGTGAGGTTCCTAATATCGAGAAGAGAAGAGGTAGAAAAGAAGCAGATAATAAGCCTTCAGTTCATGTTATTCAAGGTCCAAAGCCTGGGAAACCTACTGATCTTGCGAGAATGCGCCAAATGATTTTGAAGCTGAAACAGAACCCTCCATGTCACATGATGCCTCCCCCTCCCAAAGAAGACAAAGATGCCAAAGAAAGCAAAAATGAAAAAGGTAGCAAAGATGCAGAAGAAGGAAAGGATGCCAAGAGTGGCATAAGCTCAACAACAACTTCAGTTGAGGGTTCTGCAGCAAAAGATGCTGCTGCTAATGGCGCAACAGAGGACCCTGCTATAGTTGAGGGTGAGCAAGCTGCTCAGTGATCAAGACCATATTGTTTTTGTTAGTAATTATTTTTTTATACATATTATTTGTATCCTTTTGAATTTACTTAATTCGGTGCTTACATTCATGGAGAATAAGCTATGGGCATATGATATTATGATGATTCTTCAGGCTTTGCAGCATGTCCTGTGGAGAGCTTGGTCCAAACTATTGTCCATGATTTGTAGGCTTTAGATGCAAATCTTTTTTGCTGTCATCTTGTTTTGACATTCGTTATCAAAGTAGAATTTCATGAATTGATTTCTCAAATTTATGTAATCTTTTTCTTAGCTATGTCCTACATACTTACGACTGAAATTAACTCAATGTGGATTTTTTATTATTATTGAAGAAAAGGGAAAGGTGAATAGAGTGCAAATATTATTATTGATTTTATAATTACTGACAATTCCATCATCAGGCTTTGCAGGAAATATCAATCCAGAATTTTTGCTCTTTATAAAATAAAGAAAGAAGGAATAGAATTAGATGAAAGTGCCGTTGTTAACTGCTGAAGTTTCTTGTACTGAGCGCAGTGACTTCAAATCAAACTATGCCTAACCACTAAAAAGGGGAGGATTTGTTATATAGGAAGGGCTTGATAAAAAAACAGGGCTCGAGCAACAAAAATAATCGCAAGTTTGAAAAGAAACTGATTTGTTCTTAATATGACCCCTTATACAGGACATTTCGAATGATTACATATCCCATCAATGACTGCTTTTAGATTAATGGAATTGTAAGGATTGGTTGGGATCATGCATTGCCATTTGTTCAACTTTATATTAAATAAAGTTCTTTTTTTCATCATTTTTTACCACAGACTTGAACTAATGTTTGATCATGATTCATGAACAAATATACAATTAAGCTTGTGCTCTTTGGCAACCGATTTCATAAGTCATAGTTTGCAACTTAAAAATTCAAGTCTCCAAAAACTTTTCCTATTTAGAGTTCTGAATCTACTCATGCTAAAACTGTTTCCCTTCAAATGTCTGTCCAAACTGCCAGTTTACCGGGGCTACATTGTAAGATGTGAGTGTTTTTCCAGTGCTGATAGTTACCTCAAAGGACAGAGGCTGATGTTGAAGGTTGACATTGCAATGCCAGTTTTGCCCCCAATTCCTTGCCATGGGTATCCATCCTGTTCTAGATCCCTTCACTTTCACAGCAACCACTTCACCATCCAACCCTACATTGGTAATCAGGACTTGATAGAAGTGAGAACTTCCACTCATTGTGAATTTCAGACCACCACTTCTTTGACACTTTACTCTGCAAGACATTAAATAAAAAAATTCCCTTTAATCAGCAAGAAACTTAAAAACACTAAGAACATGGTTTAATCTATCTTTATCACTGAAACATTTTTTTTACCTTCTATACTGAACCGGCACTATATCAGCTATTCTTTTAGCAATTTCAGTAAATGCAGCCTGTGACATCTCAAAATGTTCTCTTGGAAAATTACACCAGCCACCATAATCAACTGAGAGACCATAATTTGGAGCACAGAAATCTGTAGCAGTAACAATTATAGAAGGGCTTCCCAGCATGCACCACAAGATGTGGTCAACACATCTTATCTCATAGCAAGCACCACAAGTACTCCCTCTATTGAACAAAATGGTGCTTAACCCAGCACTGTATTTTCCATAGCTGGCCTTGTGAAGGTCTCCATAACCACAAGCTCCTTCTGCAACACATGCACACAACCCACATTGTCAAAACAGACTAATTTTCTTATGCTGGGATTATATAATTATAATGACCAAATGAGCAAGTAAAGTACCTGTAATGAGAGATCCCTCTGTGTCTTTGGTGTAAGTTGCAGTGGCTTTCTTCCATTCCTCATCCTTGTAAGCAACAATCTTGCATGAATGTAATAAAATCAAGTAGAGAAGTGAAGACTGAAGAGCACCCATCTGAGATAATAGTGTTTAGAAACTGATTATTACTTTAAAATGAAATACTTTACTTTTAATTTGTATTATGTTTTTGTCATATGTGGGGGCTAAGATAGAGAAGAAGCATTGACATTTATTACCAATAGATACTTAAAATTCCAAATAGTGGGGACATTGAGATAAGCCGAGATATAAGGTAATTTGTTGCTTATTCCAAAGGGCGTGCTCTTCTTTTGTTTGCTTTCATGCTTTTCTATTGTCTCTTCTTTTTAGGCAGGAAATGGAGACCCCAAAAGAGGTGTTTGGAGCCTGCAATTTGGATGCATTGGATAGAGATATAGAAGGGTTTCAGGCTTTGTGCTTGTGGCAGACAGACAAAGCAGAAAGCTCTACAACACTTCAATGTGGAACTTTGACTGCCAAAGGAACACTTTTTTTTTTTAATCATTTTGTTTCAGAGGACATGCAGTGTTTTAAGGGCTTTGATTAGTTGATTTACACTTTTACTCCCTTTTTTATATTTAAAATGAATTTTGATGATATGAAAATGTATAATATGTTAATATAATTTCATTAACAATCAAATAAAATTAAGTGTCCGTGTGTTTGTGTTTTTTAAAGGAAAAATTTATTTTTTAATTGAAACCATATTTCAAAAAAATTACAATGATTAAATAAGTTTTCTAAAAGTAAAAACATAAAAAAGTTATTTACGCATTTTTTAGAAGTTAAAATAGTATCTTTTTGTTATCAAAAAAAAAAAATAGTATCTTTTTTAAAAAAGAAATTATTAAAATAATTTTTTTTAAAAAAAAAAATTTAAACAAAAGAACCCTAACTTATATACAAATTCAATCCTTAATGCTTTTTCAGCTTCTTTGAAATTTTAAAATCCGTAGTGGTTGCTGCCAGAATCATAGATCAGCTAAATCGTTATAATTTCAGAAATTGATCCTATTGTGTTGTGCTTATCACTTCCTGATAAAAATTAAACAAGTGTAATCTTATTAAAATTTATAAAAATCTATAAATGAGAAAAAAAAATACAAAATTTTCACGAGTCATGTGAAAATCTCACAATAAATACTCAACTCCATCTAAAATAAAGTTATTAGGATATTCATCAACATATTAAAATCGCGTTGAACGAATCAAAAAATTGATAATCGAATTAACTGAAAATTGAAAAATTGATAATCGAAATTTTTTTGTATATTTTAGTTGAATTGAATCATTTTCAGTTTAATTGGTGAAAATCGATTCAATTCAAATTGATCCAATGCATTATGCATTTATTATTTTTGAAAAATGATTACTTGAAATCTTGCAACTTTGTAGATTTGGAATCTTGGATGTTATTGATAGCAAATTATCTTGTTTTAATTTTTTATTGTCTATTAATCTATTTTAATTCTTCATGAGTTTAAGACTTGTTTTAGGTTGAGGATTTGAATGTTTTAATGGTTTGTTACTTTGTATGGCTTTATTTGTATGTATGAAATTTTAAGTTTTTCGAAAAATCGAAAATCAATTCAATCCAAATCGAATAAAATTAGATTGAATTTTTTTAAAAAAATTAAACTGAATGCACGATTAAATGATCAAACCGAAAAAATTGGATGAAATAATTTTTACTTCAAAATCAATCCAATCCAGACAGCTATCACTCCTAATACATTTATGCAAAGAAGGCATAGTCCACTTTCAGTATTTTTTTGTGGGGAAAGTTATTTTTACAAATATTTTGTTTACAAACTATATTAAATATGACCGGTCATACTTAGTGTAATTTGTAAAAAAAAAATATAAATAGATCCTTTCCCTATTTTTATACTCATGATTTCTAAAATAAAGCTCAAAATTGCATGCATAAAAGGACTCTAAATCTCTTTTACTAACATCGACACCAAGTACGTGATCAATTAATATAGATTTTGATTTAATTAGTGGTCTCTAAATTAAGTTCCAGGTATTGTGTTAAAAATTTATCTAGCAAAGAGAAAATTTTGTCACATTAATGGTCCTATCTAATTCCAACAAGATTAGTTGAGTAATTAATAAACTTAAACCAAAACACGATAACGCTGATCATTAATAATTGCAATTATAAATTTATTATAGAGTTTAATGTTTCTCGTTTTGTAGGAAATATCCTCCAAACATAAATGTGCATGGGGTTTACATGAGCTAATGTGAGGAGAAGAGAGAATGAGAAAATATGAGCCCTACATATTTTATATGTGTGTGCAGGAGATAAATCTCTTATAAGAAAATGTATATACATTAAAATTGCTTAGAAAATGTATCCAAATAAGAATGATTAAGAAGAAGTGCAAATAAATTTTTTGCTGGCAAATAAATATTATTAAAAGGGAGAGATTATAGTTATTACCTCTTACTACTAAATCTTAACCGTTGATTTCTATCAATGTAACGATTGTAATTTATTGGGTCATATTTATTAATATAACCATTAGATTGACGGAAATCAACAGTTAAAATTTAATAAGAGAGGTAATAAAAAAAAAAAAAGATAATAAATATAACCTCTCCCAGGAGCATCTTGTTATTAAATTGGTGTAAAAATAAATAGTCTTGTATTAATTCTAGGTCATTAATTTACTTATATCAAATGACTCGTATATCTAAAAAAAAGTTAGATTCCTTAAATTTAAATGAAATCAATCAATATGATTGAGAGCATAATTTACTTTAGGGAGCGTTTGGTATAAGAGAAATTTTTATTTGTCCGGAAATCTCAAATTTCAAAAATATAATTTTTACATTCAATTTATGATAATATCTAAAAATTTAAAATTTAAAAAAATTCAATTTAACAAAAATTCTATGAAATGCCGCGTACCAAACGGCGTAAAATGATTATGAACATATTTAATCACAACTGCTATTTAAAATACTGTTTATACCTACTAAGCACATACACATATTTCTTCTCATACTTCACTTTTTGACTTTAACGGAGTGCCTTTATAATAGTCGCTACACACTCTATAGTAATAGTCGCTGCTTCAGGAAGACTCAACAATTTGCGACGAGAGCTACGTGACATACTGAGGCCTCGAACAAGTTCAATTACCTATCATATTCCTTATTTAATCTTTTCATATACTTTCATTTTTCTTCTTAATGAAGCAATGGAAAGCTACATTAGAATTTAAGTGTGTTACAAGAGGCATAATGTTTGAATTCGAACCTCATCATCATATACTCATTAATTATAGCTCCCAATCCAGAGGACCCTACTCTGAAGTAAATCAAGTACAACAGTCATAAATTTCTCATAAAAATTGTCTGCATCCATCGTACATATATAGGACTCCCTAAATTTATCAACCGTTCAATTCTTCTATTTTTCTTTTGCTTTGCCTTAACTTGGCAGGTTGTGCTAGCAGCCAAGGAATCCCATGCTTTTATTTTTCCACTTTGTTAATTGATGTTGTACTTGAAAGAACCACGTGAACTATATTTGTGAATAATACTTACGAAAATTGAAGAAGTGTTATTAATGTGTTACGTACTTGGAAGCGTCAATTGGTTTCTATAAAGAGAAAGATGCTGCTTATGGTTATGATATGAATTAATTATTTACATCTCTTACTCCATATGTGACCACCAAGACACCAACTGTAAACAGATAAGTATAATGGCTCATGTTAGCAAAATAATTTTAAAAAGTAAAAAACAAAATTAATATATAAGTTATTAAGCTATATACATGCAAATCATGTAAAAAAAAATATGAATATAATTCAATAAATTTTAAAGAAAATATTAACTTTTTATTTTACTTTTCAAATTTTGTTGAATATTGGGGCTCAAGGCCCAAACTAAATAAGAAATCACAGCGTTTTCAATTTTAAAAATTAAGTTAATCAAGTTAGACTAAGCTCGAGCTCTTACCAAAATCCTTTCAAATTGTGTATATCTTGCGTTTTGCTTTGGTGTATGGAAAAATAAATTTGAGCTGGATGAAAAAATAACATAGAAAAATGTGTATTTTAAAAGTCACGTTATTTTTAGTACTGCTTTTTTTACTGTTAAAAATAAGTTTCATAAAGTATGATTTCATAGATAAGGTAAATCTTGCATAGAAACAGAACACCTTACCTGTAATCAACTTCCGAAGGGGGGATAACATTTTCTTTTGGTCAAAATGAGCATTAAATAATGCAATGAAAGTTAGAAGGAAGTAGCCACTAGGACCCACAATTTGGGGTTTCAAGACCAGCAAGATAAAAGTGGAATACATTCAAGGGTCCAAAATAAACATTCATTATAAGAGCCAAACAGACCTGGTACAACATTTTCAGATCCATAAGGAATTAAGGATACCACACTACACGCTCTCTCTCCAATTTTGGAGAGGGCTAAATGACATTTACTACCAACAGTTACACACCAGAAAAGTAGGTATGCAAAATCAAGTGACAAATAAGAAGTGAGAAGAACCATTGGATGCCCTTGTGCACTCCAATAGCTACTTTTCTTATACATAATTAGAAAAAAGGGAGGAGGGTGAAAAGAAGAGAAACTAATATATATATATAGCAAAAAAAAAAAAAAAGGGAAGCATAGTTGGAATCCCATGAAGACTATTTTTGCGTAATGGGACTTGATCAACTTTAACTAGGTAAAAAAAGGTGCTTATTAATTACCCTCTATGGGAAGGATCCTTGGGTGTACCATGTACTGGTGCTTGTACCAGTTGCAAAGGCTGTGTTAAGGGTAGAAATTTAGGCGAGAGGTGTAAGTGGCCTTTGAAACCCAATTGCTAGGAATAACATCTCTTGCAGAGAGGCTCCTCCCAGAGGAGGAGCTCAGTTTCACAGAGAATGGTCCCCTTAAAGGTCCCCCAATAATGCACCAATTTGCACCCCACACATGATTCATCTGCAGCCACTCACTAGACCCTGTCTGCAAATTACAAAATATGAGAAACAATTTAAAGAATAAAATAAAGTTAGTCTCATTATTTAAATTGTAAAATTTGCAAATAAAACGAATTGGGGTTGACCCCACCTACCTTACAGATTATATCTAGGGATGTACAGAATAAGCATTATTTAATAATTTATTTGTAAACAGAGAAAACATCAACACTAAATTAATTATTTAATCTGTTTTGGTAATTAAGTTGCCACACGTTTACGTACAGTGAGGAAAAGTGAGGAATGTTACTTTCAACATTGGTCCCATGTCACATGATTTGAACTCAGAAAATACAGGAAAAGCACCACCAGAGGAAGTTGCTAATGGGCACCATTACATGAGGAATAACACGCTGATAATATATTTAATAGGAGAGAAAAAGGGTCTTCCAATTGCAACCTTTGACAGATAATCTAACCTAAACTGCAAAAATTGTGGTGTTTTGAGCAGAGGCACGTGTTCTAAGGAGACACGTCCGCAACATTTGGAATTGTTATAAACTCCGGACATGGACCAAGATAAACTAGATATGCTCGTTCCTTTTATTTGATTAAAAAAAATGCGAATAACCAGAATGCTTTATTTCACGTTTAGGGCAGTTACTTTCAGTCAAATCTGCCACACTTTTCAAGAAGCAGTGTTCCAAAATGCAATAAACTACTACCTGTTAGACTTTATTAGTTAAATAAATCAAGTGCACATTCTAGCTATAAAATATATTAAGAATCTCACCATTTTCTTATATTTCATATTAGAAGCCGTTAGCTGTAATGGCATCTGATTCTCTGGGAAGACCAGAAATTCAGGATTCTTCTTCCTTGTTCACTTTTTTTTTTTTTTTTTTTCTGTTTCTACTATATTTTACTCTCTTTTTTATTCTCGTTCATAGAGATATATATTTGGGATACTTAAGGAAAAAGCAATAACAGCAAAAAAATATGGAAATATACATCAACAACAGAAGAAGAAAGATGCATACTTCTCGTATATGCATGGAGCCGATATCTCCCTCGGCATCCTCAAACTCAACCAGAAGTGATAGCCAAAATGGTGTGGAACCTTCATTAACATGGAAGGCAATTTTTCTTCCCGGATATTTACATGGGGTTCTGAAACAAATACAATCACATAGGACAAAATCCATTGATTAGAAATTGATGTTTAAAATGGCGCCTTTCCTTTTAATCCACAAAACAAAAGGCTACATCAATCAGGATTCAACTAGGGTACATACATTGATACATACACACCAATGCAGTATCCTAATATATAGAAACAAACTCGATAACAGAAGCAGAGATTAACATTTTTCCCTTAAAAAAACAGTCAAACGTCAAATCTGCACTAAATAAAAAGAGAGAGAGAGAAATAAAAGGAACTAGTCAAAGAGTCAACACGACCCAGGTAAAGTTCAGTAGCAAACCCCAATAACCTATTAATATTTCCATCAGCAAATCAATTGAATATTTTTAACAATTGAATATTTTTAACAATATAATATATATATATATATATATATATATATATATATATATATATATATATATACGGGGGAAATGTGTTTATCATGTTACATGAGATAATTTGTCTCATGTAGCACATAAAAAATGGACATGACTCGTTTTTTTTCTTTTTCTCTCTCCTTTTTAGTGGATTCCACCCACTTTTTTGTGTGTTGCATAATGCAATATGAGAAAAATCAAACCCTATATATATACATAAAATCTTATATATATGAAATTGATGTTTATCTGATTATAGGAAAAAAAATTTATCTCATATGTACATAAAAATATACGATATCCATATTTTTTATTTCTCTATTCTCTTCAAATATTCCACATAAGATCCATACACTTTATATATATATATATAATAAAATTATCTCTTAAACATTAATCGTCTTATCAATATACATTTAATTGACCAATCCTTCACAGTTTTACACGAAAAGCATAACTTATTTATTTATTTTTAACGATGATGAAGATATATATATATACCTTCGGTAAATGACTGGGATTTGACCACGGTTCCTGAGTGGACCATTCTCTCCGGCTATAGCCATGCGTCCAAATGCAGAACCACTCAGGTCAAAGTGGGTTTGGTCTGAAGGGCACCCTGGACATTCATCTGTTATGATCACCGTCACGGCTCGCCTAGAACATATGCTTTTATCCAAACACTTCACCTTATAGCACGCACCGCACCCTTCACCGTTCATGAACAGCACCGGACCCACCGCACCTACCCGAGCCCTCAACGGCTTCACATCCACCAAATTACCATACCCACATGCCCCTCCTTCACACATTCATCATCATTATTATTAATAATAATAATCACTCCTTAACATAATGATATTATAATTTTGTACATTTTGTACTCACTGAGTCAACTCAGCGAGTCAGTTGTGAGCGAGTGAAGTGTGAAAATAAGAGATTTTGTTAAGGGACTTACCGGTGCTGCCGTCCCCTTCGGGGTCGCCGTACCAGGTGGCGGTTCCAGGATACCAATGTAGGTCCGGGAGATGGTGCTGAGGTTGTCCCTCCGCCGCGCCCGACAACATTACGAGTGTCAAAGCCAAGAAGCAGAAGAGGGTCAGATTCGACACGGCGGAGACACGGCGGCGCTGCATTGTGCCACCGCTGTTCGGATGAAAAAATACGGTGGGGGGTTTTGGAACGTTGCCGACAGTTTGGTGGCGGCAGAGGGGATCTGGCGTGTGGGTTTAGTTAGACCGTTAAAATGGGGGTTTTTGGGTTTTCTTTATAGTACAACAAGGCGTGACTGTTTTTACGTTGTTGTCCGTTGGTTTAGTACTTATTTACGGAATGGTGCCACTGAGGGTGGGTCCCACTGGTAGTTAAGGCGTTAATTCCGTATACATGTGCGCGCGAAGAATGCAGGGAGGGTGTTTTGGTCATTTCAGTGCGGAAAAGACAAAAATGACAAACGCGAGGTTATGATGTGAATAAGTCCTAACGCTCTTAGAAAACGACGTTGCTTTTACGACCCGAGATTCAGCCGCCGTACCAAACGGTTTGCAGAAGAGTTCACACTATGTAAGTGAGATTATGTTGACTTATATAATACTAACATTGTTTTAAGGGAAAATATTTTAAACGAGAAAATTTTTCTTCTAATAAAGATTCATAGTATAAGTGTGGCTTACAAAATAGTATAGAGAAAAAAAAAATTCAAGGTGAGATCTATTTATGCTATGAATCACTAGTAAAAAAAAAAATTCCTTTAAAAAGAAAAAATATTTTTCCTTGTTTTAAATTATAAATGTTACGGAAAAAAAATTTAAAATATTATAATATAATAAAAAATTATGAAATTCTAGCAATAATGTGTAGCAACCAGATGTGTTAAGAATAGTGTGCAATTCATCAGGTTAAAATTTGGGCACAAAAGGGGTGCAATCGTGTTCAAATTTGAACGCGACTCATCCAAAATTTATATATGGCACAAAATCTTTGACATGACCAATAGTGCCCAAATTCAGGCATGATAGATCGCGCCCAAATTTGGATACGACTCACCTGAGAAAGACACGTGGCACAAAATTTTGAAAAGTTGTAACTTTTGACTCGGTTGTCTGAATCGAATATTTTGTTTTAATCCACGTAACTTTTTGTCAACGCTTATATCATGAAAAGTTGGATAGAATAAAAAAAATCATTTGAGTCAAAAGTTACGGCCTTCTGAAATTTGGCGGTAAAACTTCCAAAATTTTGTGTCAGGTGCCATCCTCGGGTGAGTTGCTGTCAAATTTGGAAACAACTACACCCATATCGTGCCTAAATTTAGATGCGATCAGTTGTGGGCACACCTGGTTGTTACATATTCATAAATAGGTTTCAAATTGCTACAATTTCATAATTTTTAATTTTTACTTTTTTTGCCATGTAAAATAGGAACAAATCTTTGGTACTACGATAACACTAAATTTTCGGTGCATCTTCCACTCATAATATGACATATGTCTTATTTTTGTCAAATTATTAATAAATAAATTATTGTGAGATAGTGATTTGACAAAAAGTAAGACACGTGTTACATTGGGCTTTTTGACCCTTTTGCCCCTAATTAAAAAATTAATAACCAATTTGCCCTTCCCCCAGAACTATCCACCATCCTGCCCCCATTTAGTCGATTAAGTTGCACTTTTAATCGACTAAATGGGCTAAACTCAGAAATTATGAAACGCGAATTTTAGTCGACTAAAAACTCACCTTAATCGACTAAATTGTTTGCACTTTTAGTCGACTAAGAGCATTATTTAGTCGACTAAATGTCGCGAAAAACCCTATATCCAGACCTCTCTTGGCCTTATTTTCATTATATTCGAAATCAAAACTCCTCTCTTGGTCTCTTTCTCTTGTTTGTCAGATGTGAACCTTCCAATCACCCTTCCATTTCATCCCACCACCTCTAAGGCATAGTAATTGTGAAATCATTGTCATTTTCCTTTATTTCTCAATTGTTTCCCCCAAATCTGAACCCTAACCCCTAAAATCTGATTCCTACCTCCAAAATTCGTGTGAAAGATGAGCTCAAGTCCAAACATGTATGTTACCATGATTTACTATGATGGAAAGCATTATGAAGGCCCCAACGGTGTTCAATTTGAAGGAAAAACGAAAATGTTGAAAATCAAACGGGGCACTACGTACAATGAGCTGAAGGGGAGGATTAACCAAAAATTGGGGCTACACGGCAGCCATGGCGTTCAACGGATGATCGCCAGGGTAGAGTCTACAGTTGGTAATGATGCTATATTCTACATTGGTAATGATATATGTGACGATGAAGATGTGGACTGTGTCATAGATGCAATTGTGGACCAGAAATTTCAAAACTTTATTGAGATATATGTTGAAATAGACTGTGGTCAATCTTCATCTGCACCTGTGCATGGAAGAAGTCAAAGTCAAGAAGACAGAGTGGTCGGTTTATCTGCACCTGCACCTGTCTTAAGTCAGATACCACTGAGGGAAATAAACGAGGATGAGGATGGGCATGACGAGGATATGGACAGTGAAGACGATGGTGAACCCGAGAGTGTTATTCCGCTGGGTGACACCTCAGATACGGACGTAGAGGGGAATTTTGACGCTGATACTAGTTCAGGAAATTTGAGTTCCCAGGTTATGCCACCGCTCCGTGTTGACCCTGATAGCAGTGGTAAGATTGTAATTTCTGAGTTTTAATTTTGCATATATATATTTGTGTTTTCTTTCGTACTGACGGATAAGTTTAAATTTGGACGTAGGGTCTGAGATTGAGCCATTTTGGAACGACAGCCCACACTATTCGTTCATTAATTGGGCTCACCCTAATGATGAGACGAAGATATTGTATGGCGACGATGACATCCACGGTGGCTGGCATTTAGGAGATCCATTATATTTGTACCAGGAGTTTCGAACTAAATCTGAAATGCAACATGTTGTCAAATTATATTGTATGAAGTCTCATCGTACTGCTGTGGTGGCAAAAAGTGATGACCATAGATTTGTGATGAAGTGTCGACACCATAATGATGGTTGTCCCTGGTACGTGCGGGCTATGTTGCCCAAGAATGGAAATAGTTGGGTTGTTAGTAAGTGGGGTAAAAAACACACTTGCCTAAACCAAGGCCTTACTCGGGACCATAGACAGCTGGATTCTGATGTAATCTGTGCAGCCATTATAAGTATGTATTACATTCATTTTTGTTTATGGTTTAATTTTTCGGTATATTTATTGATTGTGTTGACTTCGAATTTTGTATAGGTATGTTAAAAGAAGATCCATCCACGAAACCAGTTCTTATTCAGGAGAGGGTACAAAGTTTGTATGGATACAACATATCTTATAGGAAGGCTTGGAAGGCTAAAATGAAGGCCATTGTGAAGTTGTTTGGGGACTGGGAAAAATCATATGCCATCTTACCTGGTTGGCTGAACTACATGACACAGATAAATCCTGGTTCTGTGTTCAAGATTGATACGGATCAGTGTTGTGACGAACGACGAGTCTACACCGATAAGGCTGTCTTTCGCAGGGTATTTTGGACTTTTCACCAGTGCATTGAGGCTTTCAAATATTGTAAACCCATAATCCAAATTGATGGCACGCACCTGTACGAGAAATACAAAGGTACCCTCTTGATTGCTACGTCACAGGATGGTGATGGATTCATTCTGCCTATTGCGTTTGCCATTGTTCCACCGGGTGAGAGATTGGATGATTGGTTGTGGTTTCTTAGCCAGATGCGTTTCCATGTCACACGTAGGCATGGTATCTGTCTAATATCCGATCGTCACCCCAGCATTATCAGGGCTGTGAAGGATCATGTCGGTTGGCAGCCTCCATTTGCATATCACGTGTTTTGTCTTTGTCACATTGGAAGCAACTTCAACACTAAGTTTAGGGACGTGGAACTAAAGAAAACGCTGATGAAACTAGGTAACCTACACAGTTTAGTCGACTAAACCAGTACAGGTTGCTCGACTAAATAACTGGTTTTGACACCCCATTCTGTTTTGCACGCATTTTTTTGGCACAGAACCGATCGAATATCAATGTACACGCATATAATGACTTGGGGAACACACTTTCAGGTACAAAATAGTATTGTACAGGAGATAAACCACGAATGTACATGTACTGCATAAATGCTCCAAGTTAGGGTATCCGAAAGTTGTGTTCTTCTTTTAACTCTGTTAAGGTCACCTGTTCTGAATTTCATTGGACATTTTAGACCCGTTGGACTGTGATTAGACACAAATTGAAAACAAGAAGGTAAAAGATATTTGTTCCTTCATTTGGTAAACAAGAAAACAGCAATAATTACGTAAACGGTTCACAACATGATGGGAACATCAAATAGTTCATTTCATAACCATAATATTACATAAACTACAAATGTCAAATAGGAAGACCGAAGTCAATTACATAACAACATACACTACAAACGTAAAATAGAAACATAAACCCTAAATCTAATCCTCATCCTCCTTGGACGCCGTCTCCTCGTCATCCTCATCTGACACATCAGCCCCCTGCCCTGCAACATCCTCAATCTGCTGTCCTCGTCCAAGATCTAGACGAGCAAGCCTATCTTCAACACCCTTAAACCGTCCCTGTATATGTCTAAATCTTTCATTTCCCTTCTGCACGTGACTCTTCCTCCATTTTTTGTGTTTCAGCGCCATTTTTCCTATTTTCTTCAGCGTGGCGTTTATGCCCTTCATGACATCACGTAATGAAAACCCACCCTCAGGCTCAGCTATCTCCTGCTGGTCACCCTCATCATCATCATCATCATCATCCTCCACCTCGAGGTCAACCATGTCTACAACTGGAGCAACATCAGGAACCTCAACATCAGCCGCACCTGTGAACTGCCACACTCCTGTTTGGGGGTTCTCTGTCATCTTGCACTGCTCCAGTAGACGTTTTCCAAACTTATGATTATACCATGTGGTCTTCTTCAAGGTCACATTACCCATGGGAACATCAAAATGCTCCAATATCCTCTGAACAAGACAAGCAAATGGAAGTGCACCCTTGTGTTTGGCCTTATACATCATCCAACAGATGTAGTGCCTCCAGTTCACCGAAGTACCATGTCGGATAGCCCAC